TCCTCTATTGCATTTTAGATGAACATTTAATTATGGATCTTTGTAGGATGCTGATTAAAACCTAAAAGTGTTCTGCAGTGTGATGAAGTAATATGACTATTTTGTAACCCTAAAAAAAGTTACACCCATTTTCAGATTTCTTGTTTCTGATTTGAATTTAATAAACAAGTTAAACAATGATTACTGTAATAACTAAAGAGGTATCTACAAATAGAAATAAGCAATATGTCTGCAAAGTAATTGCATTGTGTAAATTGTTTGTGCTTTTCAGAAGATAAATATTCAACATTTACCCAGTAATTTCTGGAGCTTTCAAAGAGATGATCCTATTGCTAAACGGCATCTCTGAGATTACTGACCATTAAATTACAGGGTAAGGAATGCATATCATGACTTGGAAATTTAAAAGCACTATAAAATGCAAATACATAACCATTTGTTTCTTAAAAATAGCTTCATTAAAGAGTGGTCTTATGTATTTTGGGAAATCCAAGTTATGCATAATACGGAGGCCACTGATTCCAAAGGCTGCCTCAAATAAATGACATGAAGGGCAGGTCATTGAAATAGAAGCGTAGTGTTGGGGGAGGGGTTATGAGGAACTCCCACAGATGTGGCTAGTCACAGATGGAAGAGGAGCACAGGGCATGGTGGCAAGGTGATCTGCTGACAAGGTATTATTATTTATGATGGATACTATGTGCACTGCTATGGCAGGAAGCCCCATAGACAGTATCTATATGAGGTCCTGTATCAAATACTTTTAAGAAGATTGTTTTTGCTACTACTGAAAATACTGTTTTGCATGTTATGGTCTAATAATCACCCAAGTCTTTCCTAGGATTTTAGCAAGGAGAAAGGACCTGCAATCTACAAACGCTTCCCCTAAAAGAGAAAACTTAAAATTTCTTTCAAAGGAATGAAAACTATTCAAGTATGGGTGGAAGAAGGCTCAAAAAAAAAAAAAAATCCACAATGTAGGATTTTGTTTATGTAAAATCCTAGAAAATGCAAACTAATCTGTATTACTAGAATGCACACTAGTGGTTGCACTGGCTGGGATGGAGGTAGGGAGGGCACAAATGCAAAGGGATAGGAGGGAATTTTGGGGGGTGGTGGACATATGCGGTATTTGGATTGGTGGGGTGGTTTTCACAAGTATCAAAACTCAAAAAGCACATTTTAAAGGGATGTAATTTATTGTGTATAAATTATACTCCAATTATAAAAGAATAAAACAAAACAAAGAGCAGAAAATTTTTTTAAAAATGAAAAAAAAAAAAACACCCTCAGGTTAAAATTTCACTTTCCTGACCAGGTGTGGTGGCTTATGTTTGTATTCCCTGCACTCTGGGAGGCCGAGGCGGGTGGATCACTTGAGCTCAGGAATTCAAGACCAGCCTGAGCAATAGTTGGACCAAAAACAGAAAAAACAGCCACGTGTTGTGGCGGCACCTGTAGTCTCAGCTACTTGAGAGGCTGAAACAAGAGGATTGCTTGAGCTTAGGAATTTGATGTTGCTATGAACTATGACACCATAGGACTCTACCCAGGGTGACAGAGTGAGACACTGTCACAAAATAAATAAATAAATAAATAAATAAAATTGCTACTTTCCTGTGGAGTGCTAACAAGTCATCTTTCCAGACCAAGTCTCACAATACTACCATTTGTATTTTCATTTTTGGCACGTCTTTAGAACAAATACACTCCATTTGCCAAGTAAGTGAATGAGCAAACTAAAGCACCTGAGAATTTGTTAAGTATTTAAAATAATAGCATGGGAGTTTAGAGCAAAGATTTGAGTTTAAAAGAAACATGGAGGCCTCACCGCTGGCTTTGCTGCTATCCGTAGACTGGTTTCAACACCTCTATGCCCGCTAGTTGGAAGCCACCTCAGGTTCCCTTCCTTTGCTTGCCACTCAATTTAAATTTTTTCCTATGCTGTTCCTCACAGTATGGGTTCACAGTGGCCAGCAAGTCCTCATGCATGAGATTCTGTCTGCAATAGTTGATGACGGAAAAATAGACTCAGGTGCTTACCAGCCTTAACCTTTAAGAGTCATATTCCCATTTAAAGGTAGGAATATCATCAAACTACGTTTGCCGAGATTGGACATGGGCCTTGGTATTAGCAAGAGCTGCTCAGCTTGCAACAGGTTATCAATACAATTGTTATTTCCTTCAAAATGAAGGCCATGTTTACTTAAATAAAAGATTGACAGTATCTTTTAAGCCATCTCGTCATTGTGTCTTAGTAATATAAAAAATCTGTCAGGGCCTTCTGAAAAATCTGTTGAGTGTTTCCAATAAAACATTTATCAGAGTGAACCAGGTAATTTCTTCCTTTTGTATACCCTTTTCAAACTACTTACTACAATTTCTGAGAAATCAGTTTAAATCATCATTGTATTGAACAGGAATTTTGTTGAACTAAAAAAAAACTGTTACAGAAACGAGCAAATGAATGGATTTTAAAAATAAAGGTAGGGTCTGTAAGAACATGTAGTTTGGGGGCTAAAATGAAATACTTAATGTAACTCAGAAATTCTGTCAGAAGTCTGTCTTCTCATGAGAAGAACCACTCAGCCACACACGCTCTGCTGGGCTCCACACAGATCAGGGCTCACACAGTCGTGAAGAATGTCCATTTATCCCAGAATTTTGAGCTGGAGAAGATGTGTTAACTGGTCAATCACCCAGCCTCTCAAAAATCATGATTAAGGTCCAATAGTCTGAATATTAAAATACTGGCATTTTGGTTTTTATCAGTCTCCATGTGAGGTGAGCAGGGTGCCAGGGCAGCGCAGCACAGTTGCCTCCTGATGTGAGTCACTCACTGCTGGTATGCACCAGTTTAGAATAACCATCTGGATTTTATTAAAAACAAAAATAAATCTAAAAAGCTTCCTTCAATTACACAATATGCACAAGAATTTCTGCATTACATCATTTTACATAAAATGTTCTGAATGGACAGAAGTAGAACTTTCCACCATTTGAACAGAGGAGTTGAGTGCTGAAAAATCACACACACTTCTAGAAAGAAACAAGTTTCACAGGGAAGACCTGTGATCTCTGGCTACAGGCAGGAGCTGAAATTAGGAACATGAAAGAACTTCAAGAAAAAAGACATTCAATACTCTAAAATCTTCAGCAAAAATAGTCAAACATTTGTAAACAACCTTTAACAAGTCTTTTCAATATGCTGTGTTGCTATTAAGATAAACTATCCTTAGTTGATTTTTAGTTAACTCAAAAAGCAGTTTTTATTGCTGAGAAGTTTTTCCCTCTCGGTTAAATAAAAGCTTTGCTTTCTTTCCCTGGAAGGCAAGAATACAATGTGATTAGGGCTTATCAGTCCGTTTGTAAATTTCTCAGACTTGGGCATTTCAGTGACTTGCCAGCCTCTTGGTTATTCCTGCTCCTCAAAATGAGGGTTAGAAACCAGATTTAAAAAAAACTTTGCCTCCAGTTAACAACTTTATTTGAAAGTCTGTTGATGAGGACTCTGTTCAAACTGACTATGGGTTTTAATCATCCCTGGCATCCTTTTCTCCCCTCTCCAGGGATCATCAGGACTTAAAACATGAAACTGGCAACACAACTACTTAAAAACAGAGTAAGGCTGAACTGTCCTCAGTGTCCAGGACAACTACAGTACTGAGAATCCCTAGGACTCACTGTAAACAAACAAGCAACTGTACAACAGCCTTCTGCATTTAGTACCATGAGGAAAATCTATTTTCTTCCATTTATCTATTTGGATATTTTTATCAAGTGACTGTATGTAACAATAAAATGTCCCTTTACGTGTGTTATAATATAGCAAAACATATCAATAAGTAGAAATAAACTCCAAAATCTCTAACGCTAAATCCCAATGGAGACTTAGAACTATGCTTGGATATCTCATGCTCTCTGAGAAAATTAGGAAAGCCTCTTAACAGTGACTAGGTCCCTTTTGGTGGAGTGACAAATGTACATAAAAGCAGCGATGCTATGGATGAGTTATTCTTTTCTGTAGTCTAAAGTTATTGTCTTTGTCATTTTATTTTACTGTTACTATGCTGGGGCCAAGAAGACATTTACTTCTCAGAAGCTTTATAGTAACAGATTTTGAAGAAGCTAAAAAAGATACAGTTTAGTACAAATTGTCCTTTACCTTTATTCCTTGTACAAACAAGGAATTCTTTACAAAACTCAGTGGGAGGAGGAAAACATCATGGAAGAAGAAATTACCTGCTTTAGTATTTTTAAGAATAGTTAGATAACTTCTTAGATCAAATCACTTATCTGAAATAGAGCAAAAACTATAATACAATCCTGACAGAATTCTAATAATCACAGCAATTAGGCTTTCATTGAAAATTTTCTCTTCATGAAACATTAATGCTATAAAAATGAGACTGATGACATCTCTATTTAAAAGACAGCTTGCCCTAGTATCAAAATGTGACTTAATACCAATTGAAAAAATAGAGCTTGTATAGTCTATTATTTCAATGATGTTTTATTATTACTTTAAGTTATTTTGAAGGTTGGTAACAAAGTTATTGTTAACAATATAAATACTTTCTCTTTTTAAGTGTTGAAATTCTCTTAAAAGTATTGAAAGGCAGGAGGCATTCCCAAATTAAAGAAAATTAATCATTACGTGAATTTATATTTATTTCTTTAACTTCTTTACAAATTACTTCTGATTTGCTTGGTTTATTCCCTATTTGTTATCATAAAAAGAAATCTAAGCCCAAGCCTTTTAACTGGAGCCACTGTTTCCATTTTCCACTATGTCTTCAGTTTTTTCCAGGTGTACGATAAAATAGCTGAATCATGTTCTTTTGCCTTTTAATTTCAGAGTAATATTAGAGTCCTAAAACTTTATAATTTCAACACATACAATTACTAAACATTTTTATGCTTTTTAAAAAAAGTTCCATTTTGTTTACTGTATTAAAATCAAATTTTAGTCTAATGAAATCTGGTAAAATTGTGTTCTTTTTAAATACAGCAGCTGCTACTTACCTTTAAATATTGCCTAGATGGAACTAAGTTCAGTACTGACCCAAGGATACTGGCATCAAAGCCTTCACTGTGAACTATCCCTAAGAGCTCTGTATTTCTGAAATGAACCACCAATGATTCTAGATTTATAATACCCTGTCTTAACTTGGTATATACCATCTTTTGGGGGGAAAAAATCATTAGTTTTTTGATGAGATACAAGAATAAAATCATTCTTGAGGTTTCACCTCTAATATGGAAAAAAGGATGAAGTCAGCGCATAGCAGCCAGCGGGATACCGTCTGTCCCGTCAGGCCAGCCCTCACACAGAGCATGCACGCACGGCCAGTGCTCACTGTGTCTGTTCTCAAGTTGAGAGCTGCTGCTTAGTCAAGTTGCAGGTGCCACCATGTTACGTGATGAGACAGTAAAACTGCATGTCCACCATGAGAGAAGGAAAATAAACAATGAAACAATGCAGCAAATGTAGGCAGATGCATTCAGAACACTCCAGAAAGCTAACACTCATGAATTGTCATCAAAAGGGTTCTTCTTTCCTTAAAAAAAAAAGTCCTTCTTTGCATATTTTAAAATTCAGCGGTCCCAGAGAATCATGAAGTGCCTTGTCGTTTCTGCTGCTGACTTCTGATGACCTCTAGTTGTTTTTTGCATTGCTGATAGTACGTTGAAAGGCTTTTGTTTTCATCTAAAAGCTTTTTATGTTCCTGTACCAGACGAGATGTATTTTGCTGGTCCTTTTCATCCTGGTCCAGTTCTGCAACTAGTTCTTGCCTAAAACAAATATCACATAATAAAGTATTACATGGGGCAGAGAAATTGATACCTTACTAGCTGATGATGGAAGCTCAATTAATGAGAACTGTTACTCTGGGTCTACCATTCTATATCTTAAGTGCACTCCTCAAATATCATTAAAGGCCAGAGTGCAAACTGTTTCCTGCTCTTCTGCTGTAATCCTATAATACCACGATCCTTTTATTAAGTACCTGTAGTGGGATAGTTAGTGAAGCAGAGAAGATGGTAAAATAAAAGTTTCAGAAAATTTCATTTAGTTTCCCATTTTTGAGTAGGAAGGAAGAAAAAAGGCTGGGAAAAGCTCTGACTATAGAAAAATAACACGGGGGGAGGCGGAGCAAGATGGCGGAGGAGATGCATCCCTGAGTCAACTCTCCTGGTGGTTTCAGGTGAGAGTGGGCCTCTGGGATCTCTTCTGCGTGGATTTCTTGCGCGGATAAGCAGCGCAGGGCGAGCAGCAAAGAGCTGAATTGCTGGATTGGAAGTGTAGCTCAGAACTACGGTGTCAGCCAGAAAAAACTCAGGGCAGCAGCTGAAACGGCGCCATCTGCCACCTTCGGTGCCAGGTCCACAGCTTAGGTCGTGGGGCTTGCTTTCTGAGACACAGAAACCGATCCCTCCCCCAAGAAAGGCTCCTGTGCCCAATTCGCGGGGAGTTTGCATGTCTCGCGGAGAGTGTGGTGAGGTATGGATTCCCCGGGCAGAATTTGGTGGCCAGAAACGGGAGACATTTGGACCCAGTTTGGGGCGTTAGGGATCCAGGCATTCGGACAGAAACTCAAGGGGAAGGGACTCTGCTTGGGAATCGATCCATCCCGTAATTTTGGAAGTCTGTCTGGAGCTGGACTGACGCGGTGACCAGCAGGGTGAATCGGTTCCAGTCTTGCAAACACTGAAAAGTCTTTTGAACATTCTGCTCCAGCGGCAGCAGTTATAACCCCTCCCCCATCAGAAACAAACTAAATTCCAAGGGCAAAAGGAGCACTCTAGCTCTTTTCCCTCGGATCACATAAATTTGTTTGAGGGGAAACCAGGAGTTGAGTGCACGGAATCGGTTTCCTTCCTACAAACAAGGAAAAATCTTTTGAACGTCCCACCGGGCGGCGACAGCAGCAGTGCCGGCTGTGGCTGTGGCCCCTCCCACTCTGGAAATAAACTGAACGTGGACCGCAAAAGGGGCGGCCCCAGCTTTTTTCCTTCAGACCACAATGGTTTTCTGTTCCAGGGGAAATTAGGAGTTGAGTGAAAGTCTGGTGAAGTGCGCACTTGTGTCCCAAGTTTGGAGGACAGATAGAAGTGGGCTGCCAGCCAGGAACCAGATGTACTGTAAAACCTCCAAAATGGCGTCTCCATAACACCTCCCCCAGAAGCGCGGAGAGCTCAATATGATCTGCAGGGAGCCTTCCGGCATCTGAAATTGATCCAAGACGCCCAACACTCTGTGGGAACTGTTGTAGGGAGAATCTGGCATCCTGCCAACAAAGATTCTCCATATATATATATATTTTTTCTTTCTTTCTCTTTTCCCCCATTTTTGGTATAAGCGTAGGGACCACTCACAGCGCCACCTGTTGTCTAGAAAATATACTGCAGCACAATTATATATATATATTTAAACCGGAACCCCACCGCATTGAAAAAGAGACTTGTTTGTATATACTCAAAAAAAAAAAAAAAAAA